TTTAATAAATTTAATGAATTAAAAATAATATTCAATGCGTTTAATTCTGCGCGTTTGAGTCAGTTGCTGCGCATCAGTTGCTGCGCGAATTCAATTCCTGTGGGTCAGTTTCTGCGCATAATTTCGTGTTTACTATGAAATCAAAATGGGACAATGATTTTAATCAATGTTTAATTGAATAGAATATAAATTTATTAAAAATAAATATATATCATATATTAACAAAAGTAACAAATAATTTCTGAATTATCACATTTTTGAAACATTTAGTTAAAACTTAATAACAGAATTCTTCCTTAATTAATTTATGTATTTATTAAATTTTCTTTAGTTTTTCCTCCATAATCTTCATTTTTTCTTTCATTTTCATAATTTTTTCTTGCTCTTTTTCAAAATAGATAGTCTATTGTAACCAGTCTTAGTTGATTTTCTGAGGGCGCAGAAATTAAATCAAGCCCAAATTCTGTGTTAATTACTACTCTTAAAAATAAAATATAATAACAGACAAAAATAAAGTAAAGTTTAATTTTTCTTTTAAAACAAGGTTTTCTTTATCTAAAATCATCATAATAATAACCACTTTAAGTCTAAAAACAATAATAAAGCCTTTTTTATGTATAGGTATTTTTGCACCGCCAGCAAAGTTAGCAATGAAAATAAATAAAACCTTGAACACGTCAACTTTTAATTAAAATAAAATACATAAATATTATGTTTTGGTATATACTTCCTATATCTATTTTAAAACTTACATCGTTGAGTAATTTTTAAAAAAAATTTCAAAATTATTTGTGCCCTGAACAAATATATTCACTTAAATTATTAAAATGCCGCAGAAACTGAAGCACCCGCAGCAATTGACGCACTTACCCTATATAGAAAATGATATTAAAATTGAAACTTTTCAAATAGAAAATCATTTTCAAATGGAAACTTTCCAAATAGAAAATCATTATTAACTTAAAAATTCTCATTTTAAAATGGAAACTTTTCAAATATAGAAAATCATTTTAAAATGGAAAATTTTCTAATAGAAAATAATTTTAAACTTGAAAATATTTTCCAAAAATTGAAAATAGAAAATTTTAATAAAAAGCACCCCCTGCAATATTATATAGTCTCGCTAGGGAATAACGACATCGATAATAAATATATAGAGAAAAAAAAGAAGTTTCAATATAACCATGACCCAGTTTTTCATTAACGGAAATACAGAGAAAAAAGTAACTACCTCGATCGTCGAAAGAAGAAGATCTTGCTCAAATACATTTTCCATCATCTCTCGGGGAAGTTATATCGTTTCTATAGAAATAATTTTCAAGTCGACTAAAATGGTGGTAGGAGGAGATGGTATAAATGCCATCTCATCGAAGTGCTGCACGACATATTCAGCAACCAGCGAGGAATAATAAATAGCACAGTAAATATCCAGTCATACATATATATATAAGTGAATATGTGCGTTGGGTTGAGACGCGATATGGAAAACGTAAGACGACAAGATTTGATGGGTGAGAGAGAGGATGACGAGGGGGAGGTTTTAGGAAAATAGAGAAGAGAGGGTTGAAAAGAGAGAGAGAGAGAGAGAAAGAGACTTTATGCACGTAGCAAAGGTATGGTAACGGATATACGACCCATATTACAGACTGCTACTACATACTTGCCGCGTTTTATAAGGCGCTTAAAATTTTATTCGTTATAAAATTCCCATCGACTATGTGTACCACCGATCTCTATAACCCCTTGGAACTACACTGAAACCTTGTTCCGGACCTGCATGATTAAGGCGAGGTGTGCAGACTTCTGTTTTCTTCGAATTTTTAATAAAACTTTGCGATACTCATTATTTTAGTCGAAAAAAAATTTTTTTTTATTATTAAATCAAATTAAATATTTACTTGAGTCAAATAAATTTTTTTTTAAACCAAATGAATTTTATCTGAATCAAGTGAATCAACAAAAAAATTTTTTTGATTCCAATAACATTATTTGTCTATTATCAAATTAAATATTTACTTGAATCAAATAAATTTTTATTTAAATCAAATGAATTTTATTTGAATCAAGTAAATTTTATTTGAATCCAAATAAATTTTTATTCAAGCCAAATAAATTTTATTTGAATCAAGTAAATTTTATTTGAATAAAAATAAATTTTTATTTAAATCAAATGAATTTTATTTGAATCAAGTAAATTTTATTTGAATCAAAATAAATTTTTATTCAAACAAAATAAATTTTATTTGAATCAAGTAAATTCTATTTGAATAAAAATAAATTTTTATTTAAATGAAATGAATTTTATTTTAATCACCCGTGTGGAAAAATATTGTGGCAGTCTAGAGTCCAATGATTTCCCGATTAGCAATCATCAAGTCCGTCTAATTCTAGACGGTCCATCAAGTCCCGAATCAGTGACTTAACAGATTGGCTTATTAGAAAAAATCTAAGTCAAATATGTCCGCCTAGTACGGTGTTATTAAGACCGTCTAGATTTGGTCTAGGATGTTATATGCGCATGCGTCGATGAATGCCCAGCTGTTAAGTAACATGGCGCCTAATGGCGTCGCGTCGTTTGGCGTCGTTAGATCAGTCAGTGTGTGATGCATTTTGTTTGTGAATTATAGTATTTGTTGTGGTTTCTGTTTTACGTGAATAATAATGTGCTATGTTGTTGTTGTTTTCTGTATAATTTAATTTTAAATGTGCACTGAAAAAATAGATTTTGATGTGTTTCTATGTGTTTTGATTAGTCGGCTGAAGCTAGCAGTCGTACTCAGCATCAATGTTTAGGCGTCATCTACCAATATGCCTCTCCTTCAAATTCTGTAATACTTAATGATTTAAAAAACCATCGAGTATTGTTATTTGAAAATCAATATCCACTAAATAGCAAATTTAGTAAGTTTTTATTTATTAATTTCATTAATTAGTGGTTGACGCCTAAAGATTGGTGCTGAGTACGACTGATAGTTTCATCCGGCTGTTTTGATTTGCAGTAAATTTTATTTTACAAAAAGACTACTATCTCCAATGCCAAAGATTGGGAGGGACACAAAGCCTTACGCTTAAAGAAAGTTGAAGTGAAAAATACAGAAAGTTAAAATATTTTTTAATACTTTTTATATAAAAAAAAGTCATTAAAATTATTTCAAATATAATTAAGTTTTATTATTCTAAGAATAGTTGTCATAACATATAATGAGAAATTTTGAATAGACGTAGATTAGAATTTACTAGCACTGCTGATCAGACCAGAAACGCTGGTCTATTCTAGACGATAGCGTGGAAGTTTCGTTTCAATTCTGAACAGCCGCTCGACAAGACCGTCTGCCCTGGGTCTAGAAAGACGTTAGACAGTCTATTAAGCGCTTGGTCAGCGCCCTAAAATTTTTCCACACGGGCAAAATAAATTTTATTTGAATAAAAATAAATTTTATTTATTCCAATCAATAATTAATTATTTTCTGTGATATTTGTTATATTCCTTGCAATTAAATTTTTTTAGTTGTTTTAAATAATAACTGTATTCGATATTAATAAAATTTTTATTTGAACCAATTAAAATTTATTTAAACCAAATAAAATTTACTTGAAACGAACAGTAAATCTAGTTGGCTCTGAGTATAAAATATATCTTTTTTCTGGGTGTAATAATTGGGTAGAAATTTTTTTTTCAAAAGTCCTGAAAAATACCAAATTTCTAGAATTACTACAAAAATTTTGATTTTTGGGGTTCGAAAATATTTTTGAAAAATTTTAAAATTTTAAACTCGCGTTGGATTTTTATCCACCTCATAAACTTTTCATATAGTTATACAATACATTTTAAAACAATTCCTTGATTTTTATCTTGTTTCTGTTATTAAATAAATTTATTTTCAATAATTCTAAAAAAAAAAAATTTTAATGTAATTAATTCTATTAATTAACTGAAAAAAGGTTTTAGTTCAAAAACCAATTGCAATTTTGAGAAATAATTCAATTTTGAGCAAGTTTTAAACAAAAATTTTTTATAAACTTTTCAAATTTTATTAATAAATTAATAATAATTAAATATTTATTTCAAAATTATTTAACTTTTAAAAAAATTATGCTTTTGAGAAATTCTTTAATTTCATTAATTTAAATATACTTGAATGGTTGAAAAAATTTACTAAAAAATTGTTAAATTATCATTGAAATTTTGTGAAATTCAATTCCAAATAATTCTATTTCTTAAAGAATTTTATTCCAATAAACAAAAATAAAATTTTGTAAGAAAAATAAAATATTTTTCTTAAAATACAATAAATAACAAAAATTGTAGTTTTTTGAATTTCCAAATTTAAAAAAAACTTCAATTTTTGTTATTTACTTTATTTAAAAAAAAATACTTTATTTTTCTAATAAAATTTAAAATTCTGTTCAAAAAATGAAAGTATTGAAAAATTTTTATTTAAAATTCTGACAAATGATTTTTTTTTAAATATTTCACTTCTATTTTTTAAAGGTAATTGAATTTTTATTAAAAAATAATTTAAAATACCTTTCCATTCTTTTGTTTTTAAATAATTGAATTTTTTTTAGAGAATTTTATTGAAATTTCTGAAAATAATCAAGGCAAATTTTCCTTATTAATTATTTAGATGCTTTAGTTCTAATTTTTAAAGATAATTCAATTTTTTATAAACAATAATTGAAATATTTTTAAATAATTAAAATTTTCTAAAATTCTATTCAAAATTTAAAAATAATTGAATTTGTAATTGCTTCTGTTCTATTTTTTAGAACAAATATAATTTTTTTTCAGAAAATTTTATTACCTAATGTTTTAGTTCTAATTTTTAAAGATAATTGAATTTTTTCAGTAATTGAAACTTGTTTAAATAATTAAAATTTCCTAAAATTCTATTAAAAATAATTGAATCTTTATAAATAAGTAATTGAAATTTGTTTAAATAATTAAAATTACCTAAAATTCTATTAAAAATAATTGAATTTTTCATTTTTTTTTACAGGATTTTGCTGACATTCTTGAAGATAAACGAGGTAAGTTCGCCACATTAACCAATTTTCACTTTCAAAATAGATACTAATGTTTTAAAGTTATATCTGTGCTCCTAAAAACCATATTTATTAAAAAATTATTTCCCTTAAATTTTTTTTACAGAGATCAGGGAAAAAGTTGAAATTCTATTTGAAAATCAAGGTTTTCCCTGTTTTCCAGAATTAGGAAAAAACAAAATCGAATTTTTTTGACATCCCTAAATTCAATAATCTTATACACAACTCTTAAAATGAAAAGAATTTAATGTCTGACTAAACATGTTGTTTACTACTGAATTGACAAAATTTACAGAAATTGTAAATTTCCCACGTCTGACTATAACTGATCTTTACTACTGATAACAAAAAGTCACAAAAATTTAAATCATCATCTTTTCCAACTAAAACGAATCACAAAAATTTTAAAAATCTACAATAAAAAAAATATTTTCCTTTATATTCAGTCAAAAAATAAAAATTCCAAAATACATTCAATCGAAACGAAAGTGGAAACCGAAAAAAAGATTGCGTATAGTTTTGTACCTTTTTCTCTGTCTCTCTCGCTCATTAAATAGGAGAATTTAATCGAATTTTCTAAAGAAGAAAAATCAACAGGTATAACACACACATAGAGTGAGAGTGAGAGAGAGTGAGTGGAGGCGGGAGATTAGATTTTTGTTCGAAAAGAAGGAAAACGGAACAATGAATTTTGCGGCTGACAGTGTTCCAAAGCATTGTTAGTCGGGTTTTGTGTACGAGTGGCTGCCCCTGAATTCGACTTAATTTTCCTGAGAAAAGAGATTAAGCGAAAATGGCTGCTGCGCGCTTTACTCTCTCGCAAATGCCCTGCACGCATCCTGCTGGAAACCTCTTAAAATATTCGAAACTCTGTTACAATACAGTAATAGTATATAGTTGTATTTCTAGTGCAAGGACCCGCATCATTGTGCATTGTACTTTTTTTTGAAGATCTCTTGTACAGCTCATTTCAAAAACTTATAATTCCAGAGTAAATTTCCAAGACAAAGAAAATAGTTTCTTTTAAATGTATGCGACTTGGAACAAAAAAAAAAAAAAAAAAAAAAACGTTTAGAAATAAATGTATGCGACTTGAAACAAAAAAATTAATAAATAAATTTTTACAACTTGAAAATAAAATTTAAAAATAAATATCTAAGATATAAGAGTGAAAATTTAGAAACATGTCTACAAGAAATTTACTTAAAGATAAGAATTACAAAATAAGAAAAGAAAAATTATGACAAAAGGTTCGGAATAAAAAAAAACTACTTTACATCTTTAAATGTCTATTAATTGCTCTTACGAGCAATAAAATTCTAAATTTTAATTCAGCGAATGTTTTATGGATAATGTTAAATGAATCAACTTGATGACTTTTATTTCAAGTAATGAGTGTTGCAGAAAATGTCAGTACCGTTAAGTAATTTACTTTTAATGAAAACATTATACTATTTTGCCGAGAGATTAAAACATTAGAGGATTATCGTTTTCTTAACGAGTTTAAAATATGAAGAAGAATTTTCAATTTTAAATTGGAGAAAAAAACGCTCTCCATCTTCCAAAAAAATTTTAGATTTTCTAAGTGGTCCTTTTTCCTTCGTTGGTAGTTTTTTTAATTTTATAAAATAAAAATTAATTTAAAAAAAAAATTTAATAATTAATTTATTAACAAATTAATTTTAATAGTAATAAAGATTTAAATAGTTATTATTATTCATTATTAGATTTTCAATATTTAATATATAGTTTGCACCTAGAACAATAATTTCAAATTTTACTACATTAGAGAAACTTTCAGTTGATTTAATGAATACTTTCGTTAATTTAAAGAAACTTTTCACTGTTCCAGGTGAAAATTTTTTTTCCGAGGGATGATAATAATAATTTTTTACTTTTAGCCAATCAAAGGCCAAAATGAGGCCAAATTTCTCACAATAATATTTTTAAAAATTAATTATAATCAATATAAAAATATATTTACTATTATTGACTAAGAATAAATTATTGAAAATTACGTTACAATTTTCTTGATTGTTACTGAAAATAACAAACGTAAGATGTATTATGCAACTATTTTTATTGTCATTAGCCGGATAAATAGGAAAGCAATCGTTTCAGAATAAATTCTTAATGGAAAAATTGTTGAATATTAAATTTAACAATGTATTTTTTTGTCTTATTACTTCCATTAGAAAAAATTACGAATCACGTGAATTTTACTCTTTTGCAAATTTCTGTTTACAGAAAAGTAAATTTTAATAAAAATTATGAATAATCGAATAGTGGAATTTTTTTCAAGTCTTTTACTTTTTATGTAAACGAATTGAATTAAAAAAAGTTTCCAAACCGAATCTGAATTAGTACGTGAAATAACTAATTATTAAAATAAATTAAATTAAACTTTTTCGAAAAATTAATTGTACAAAATTTTTAGTTAAAAGTATGAAAAATTCTGATTTTCAAAGTTTTTAATAATTTGAAACTATTTTAAAATTCAATTATTTCTGAAAATTCACTCTGTAATGCTTTTAATATTCAATTATCTAAAATTTTAACTGAAAACAAATAATGTATTGAATAATAATTAAATGCTTTTTATAACTGAATTTTCAAAGAAATTTATCAACAAATTATAAAAAAATTGAATTGTTTAGACGAATTTTAATAAAATTTTTAAGAACAATTTTACATTTTTCGAGAAATTCAATTGAAATTGTACTAAAAATAATTGAAATTTTGCTGAGTTTTATTATTCATGAAAATGATAATTGAATTCCTAAAAAGAATTTTACTAATTTATAAAAATAATTAAATCTCTGTAAAAAAAATTTTTTTCTTTTTTAAATAATTGAATTATTACGAAGAAAATAAAAAATTTGTAAGTAATTGAATTCATATTTGACATTTGTATTATTTATAAAAATACTTAATTGTTTGCGTAGAATTCTATTAAAATTTTTTTAAAATAATTAATTCTTTTTAAATATTTTATTAAAATACTAGATATTGAAAATCATTAAATTGAAAAAAATTTTCGAAAGTAATTGAAATTTTGCCAAGAAATTTATTAAAAATTTTTGAAAATAATTGAATTTCGAAGAAGAATTTTATTATTTATAAAGATAATTGAAATTTTAACGAGAATTTTTGTAAATTTTTTAACATAATTGAATTTCAGCCAAGAATTTTATTATTTTTGAAAATAATTGAAATTTTAACGAGGATTTTTGTAAATTTTTAAACATAATTGAATTTCTGCCAAGAATTTTATTATTTTTGAAAATAATTGAATTTCTGCAATTATTTATAAATTTTCCAATATTCAATTTATTAGGGGGTGTTTTTAAATATAAAATTCTTCTACAAAACTATTATTTTTAATTATTAATTAAATATATAGGATATATTAAAAAATTGAACTAGTTTCAGATAAATTTGAATTATTAAAATTTTTCAAAAATCTAAGTTCTTTAAAATTTCTTATTAAATTCATTAAAACTTGAAAGTTTACAAAATTTCAAATTAAAACCTTCTATTGTTCATCTATTTATGAAAACTGTAACATTCAATTAATTTTGAAATATTTAAATAAAATTATTCACTAAGTAATTTATAAGTAATAATTTTATAATAATTTTACGATTAAATGAATTTTGACTAATTCAAATTTAAAGAGTAAGTAAAAAATAACTATTTCTACAACATTTACACACTAAAAAAAAAGTTTTACTTTTAGCCTATTTTTGAGGCTGAATTTAAGATGTAAACGGAGTCAGCCCCGTTAAACAAGGACAGACTTATGTGAAATACATGGGCTGAATTTAAGGTGTAAACGGAGTCAGACTTTTTTTTTCCTGTGTACTAACTGAAAATCAGTAGAAAATGACTAATTAGAAATAAATAAATAATCTGGTCCTAATTTCAAATTACCAGACCGACTGGGCACAAAACGGGCTGTATCTGGGCCCACATATAAACTGTCTTAAATAGAACACAACCCCAATAAAAATCCCAAAGAGTGGAATCTTTTTTGGATTTAATTTTTTTTTTAAATGATGATCCAATCGAAATTTGTCATTTTTGGACAAATATTTTGTATTTGAATGAGAAAAAAAAAAGAAAAAGAAGAAAAAAGCAAAGAATGACGCGACAAGACCTTGAAGATCTGTCGGATTATAGGTATTGCAATACAACGAAGCATGGTGTTTAACGACGTTGGGATGCTGCTGACATCAGCTGGCATCGTGTTGCTCGAGCTGAAAAATAATTAATTTATGCTAACGAATGAGAAGCGTAACGGCTGCGCTCTTAAATTCGCGCCATTGAGCGACCAAGTGTCCGTAAGTCCCTCCGGTGTGCGTTCCCTTTCTCCTCTTTCTCTCTCTCTCTCTGTCTCTCTATATATATACACTTCTTTTTCCTCTCATCTCGCTCGACTGGTTTCCGCCGAACTGTTCGAAAACTGGTCGCCGCCCGGGGGCGGGAATTCTACTGGTCCGAGAGATGAATCTTTTCGTCGTTAATACCGTAATAAATGAATTGCCTCTGCAGTAATTATATCTGCTGGCTGCGAGGCACAACAGCGTAACTTTATTTCTATACACTCGCACCACCCTCGCACACCAAATGCGATCAACTTGCGATTAAACGCGCAAAGAATGTATATATCTACCTTTTTTTTATTGATAGCTAAGAATTGTTTCCTCATTGACCGTTTTTTTTTTTACTCTCTAGGGATTTTTTTCCCTTTTCTCGAGATTGGTTATCTTTATTCTTTTTTGCGATTTGTTCTGGTTTTTAATTCGCCTCTATCTTAGAAGTGCTGAATTTTAATATACAGTATGTACATGTCTTAAAATTAAGATTTACGATTAAATTGAAAAATATAAAAAAATGTATCCACCGGGACTCGAACGCTAATTAGCATTACCAGGGTTGCCACAGGTCAGGGAAATCGGGGAATTCAGGGAAAAGTCAGTGAAAGTAGAATTGGTCAGAGAAATCAGGAAAAAATCAGCGATTTTTATTAAAAGTACTGAAAATATTATTTAATTATTTCAAAAATTTTAATGGAATTATTTTCAAAACTAACAAAATTCTTTACAAAGATTCAATTATTTTTAGGAATTTCAAAAAAAAAATTTTTGCAAAATTCAACTATTTTCAAAAGTAATAAAATTCTTCGAAGAGATTCAATTATTTTTACAAATTTTAACGAATGTCTCGTCAAGAATTCAATTATATTTATAAATAGCAAAATTTTTCGCCAAAAATTTCATTATTTTCAAAAATTTAAATAAAATTGTTTACAAAATTTCAATTATTTTCAAAAGTTTCTCATAATTCAATGATAAATAAATAACAATATTCATCACAAGAATTTAATTATTTTTAAAAGTAATAAATTTCTTCTTGAAATTCAATTATTTTTAATAATTCTAATAAAATCGTTCGCAAGAATTCAATTCTTTTTAAAAGTAATAAAATAATTTGTAGAAATTAAATTATTATTAAATTTTTTTTTCAATTTTGAACAAGAATTAAATTATATTTATAAATAGGTAGCGAAATTCTTCTCAAGAATATAAAATCATTGTCAAAAAAGGTTAATAAACTTCTTGTCAAAATTTCAATTATTTAAACAAAATTTAATAAAATTCTTCGCATAAATTCAATTATTGTCATAAATTATTATTTAAAATCTTCTCAGGAATTCAATTATTTTTAAAAATTTTAATAAAATTCTTCAAAAAGTTTTCAATTATTTTCAAAAATTGTTATAAAATTCTTTAATATAATAAATAATAAATTTAATAAATAATTATTTTCAAAAATTGTTATAGAATTCTTTAATATAATAAATTTCAGTAAAATTTTAATTAAATTCCTTAAAAGAAATTAATTATTTTCAAAAGTTGTGAATAAAATTCTTCGTAAAAATTAAATTTTAATAAACATTCAATTATTGAATAAATTATTTATTTTCGTATTTAAATAATTTAATTCTCGTAGAATTT